CTGAGAATCAAACTTGTCACCTCCAAATGACAATGGACATGTGTACTAGACCAATTGTGTGTCTTTGCAGATGATAGTGTTATATATTGTATTAAAGGAAGCCATATGAATCCCAGCCCATGCGAAGAAAAGCTTTCCACAATTAAAGCATGGGCTTTTTTAGCACCATTGTTGCCATCACAAGTTTGAGTGTGCTTCTTAGATGCTCAGCTCTCAACCTTTCTGCAATACATTTTTTCTTGATTCCCATTTTTCCCAGACCAATTAAGGCCAGAGATGAAGTTCTTCCTCTCTGTAGCACAAAGTCTGGTATTGTAGAGACCAGGCATCATGATTCCTCACTTGGCCTGCCTTATTTACTCCAGAGGAAAGGTAACATCAATACATTTGGACCAAAGCACGCTACAGAAAGAGGCGTCTGTGGCTTAGGCGTTGTGAGTCTGACTCGTAATTCCAACGCTGGCTGCATGGATTTTATCATAATATGGGGTGTTGCAGGTAGACCCAGCCTAAAATGGGTACCAGGATGGGCTGTCCTGGGGAAGTAAAGACGGTCGGCGTAATGCTGACCACATTACACACCTAGTGCCGATTGGTCTGTAAAAATATGGGTGCTCTTCCCATATACCTGATACGCCCAAAGGCGTCAAAGGGATCTTTACTTTTGTGGCGATCGTGGCTGAGGCACTGTGAACGCGACTCGTAATTCAAATGCACCGCGATCGAAACCCACTGCTGGCTGCGTGGATTTGTATCATGGTATGGGGCGTCGCAGGTCGACCCAGCCTAAAATGGGTACCAGGATGGCTTCCTGGGGAAGTAAAGACGGCCGGCGTAATTCTGACCACATTACCCATCTAGGGCCGATTGGTCTGTAAAGAATATGGGATGCTCTTCCCATATGCCCGATGCACCTAAGGTGTGAAAAGGGATCTTTACTTTTTTTTTACTTTATGCTACAGAAGCTGCCCGGTCAGAAGAGACATGTTCTGTCCTGTTGTCAGACCAACTAGACATCCCTTCTAAAAGGTGTCTTAATTAGCCACGTCTAATGAGCTTGAACCCACAACTATGAAATATGGACAGAAATTCATATGAATTAAAACAGCATAGGTCATAAAACAAACACAAAACCAATTATAAAACCCACTGGACCATAACGCTGAGTCAAGTATATAATGAACATTTAAAGAAGAGATTGATTGGTAGGTTCCCTTTTAGTGTACGCAATGAACACAAATAATAAAAAAAATTCTTTAAGGTCTGTTATATACTAGACAGCATTACAGTTCGATATGTTTATAACTGTTGTTGTGTTATTTGACTTATGCTGGGTTAGTATGTATTTCTGCAACCTATGGCTTGAGCCAAATTATGACTGTATTCTGTAGTTTTTGGCTATAATCTGTATGAGGGAGATAACTAATGAAGTCATCATTTTAGGGGTGTCTAGCTGATCAGATGTCTTAATGCAACTGTCATGCAGTGAGATACTGTTGTCAGTTGGAGGTGACAGGTTCGATTCCTAATACTGTCACTACAAGTTGAGATTTTATGTTGTCTAGTGTGTAATTTTATCTTTCCACTTTGTTCTATGAGTGCCATACAATATATTTCTATTAGTTTATTATATTCAGTTTCTACAGTCTCAAGGCTCCCAATCTGTTTACTTCAGTCTCCATTGTTATACTGAATCATGCACTGGTTAAATCATACCTGAACATTTCTCTCAGCCAATGTCAAGTTTCAGTTTAAACAGTAACCAGTACAAGAACTTAGACACTATCTGAGATGAATGATAATGAGCTCATCATTATCTATATGACACAAGATGACGATATAAAAACACGATGGCCTATGCAATCAAAGTGAAAACAGTAATTATGACAATATTTCTGGAATGTTCCTTTCTCGTTTTCAGGCTCTGACAAAACAAACATAGGTCCACAGAAGATCCACAGAGCTTCTGAAAACAATAATTTGTATAGATACAATATTCGTGGTATATGACAAACACATACAGCAAAGTCTTGCCTTGATATGCTGTATTTGGGAATAGTCTTGGAGGACGTGATCTGTTGTCTCAGGTGCCAATCCACATGTGACTAGCTCATTTTGCCAACTGAGTCAACTGTGTGTTGATTTGATGCGGAGTCAACTGTGTGTTGATTGTTGCGAAATCAACTGTGTGTTCATTTGTTGCGGAGTCAACTGTGTGTTCATTTGTTGCGGACTCAACTGTGTGTTCATTTGTTGCGAAGTCAACTGTGTGTTCATTTGTTGCGGAGTCAACAGTGTGTTGTTCTGAGGTGTAGAACAATGACTTTCTCTGGTCTGTCCATAGTATGGTATTGGTCTGACTTTCTGATTAATCTGATTCTCTTCTTCTGCTGACAAGAGACTGGTCCATCAGGATATTTTTCAGTTGCACCTTCCACAGCTTGCTAATCCACTCTTGTTCATTCCCAGCAACTTCACAGTGGAGTGCTATCTATTGCATAGACACCTTACACAGGTTGCTTAGTTTAGAGAGTACTGTACTTACACCTATTAATTTTCCAGACTGGAGTGCCTGAAGCCTACTTTTGCATTTGTCAGGAATACTACGGGTTGTGAAATATGACTAGTGTTTAGAAGTTTCTATCCTGATGGCTTGAACTTCTGCATCACAATTGTCTCAGTGCTTTTGTTGGTATTTTGGCTGAGTCCCTGGTGTTATTTGGGTACTCAATGTGCATTCCTGCTCCTCCATTTCTGCTTGCGTTTTGTACTCATCCACCTGTATAGACATGAACCCACAGATCCTCTGGGTATTCATCAAGTAAACTGAGAATGGCTGTATTATGCTATTCTTCCTTGTTGAATACTCCTTTCACTTTTGTCTGTATGTGCAATAGCAACTTATATTCTTCATGCTAGGGAAGTCCATTTTCAAACAGCATTTAGAAGGCTGTTAGATGCAGGCAGATCATTGGTTTCTCTGAAGTCAATTGGCCTGGTCAATGAAACTACTTCTGTTTAGTCAGCCCACTGCCAGCTTTTGCAATCTTTCATTCATAAGGTGTGCAAGTAGGCTAAGAAACTTTTCTGCTTGTTTTAGCATGTTGGTGTCTCTGTGTTCTCTCAGTAAAGGTGAAGTCGGGAGATTTGAACCAGCGTCATTACACACGGTTATAAACCATAGGTGCTCTGCCACAAGTATGAACAGCTAATAAGACACTGTCCGCCTGTGTCCGCGTCCGTATGCAACTCCACAGCTACAGCGACATTCCCCCCATTTACCCCAGAGCGTTAATTCTGGTACCCATTACCTAGAGGCTGAGTGAACCCGGGTTTGAACACCGGTCATAGGCTGCAGCTGGATTTGAAAGTGAATCTCCTATCGACTGTGCTAATGCGGCCCTCTTAGTGTTTGGTTTATTGCATCTTCGCCATCACAGCTTCAGGTGCAGATTTCATCCCACCTGTTGTGACTCAGAATGCTTGATTTTGCACACTGCCTAACACATGTAGTGTAGTTTTCAATGCTGAACTTCACATAGTTGATCTGTATTCAAGGTGTGGTTATACATCTTGTCGATCTTCCTAAAGTCCATGTAGTGTGGCTTTGGTAGTCATGTCTATCCACAACCTTCTGTCTCGTGCACTTTCAATAAACTCTGATGCAGATGAGCCTCCATGCCATGATTTTAAACTCTGTGATAAGACTGCCATAAATCAAGTAAATATAACTATTATTTATTCACTGAAACAGGCAAATGAATATTTGTCACTTAATAATTACAAAAGAAACACACATCTTGTGGGACTGAAATTGACAACAAACTTATCAGTCAAGCATTTCATTTCTATATACATTTAGCTTAAACACATCAGAATGCAGAGAGCTGGTGCACCAAGACCAGAGCTCACACTGGATAAGACCAGAGCTCACACTGGACAAGACCAGAGCTCACGCTGGACAATACCAGAGCTCACACTGGACAAGATCAGAGCTCACACTGGACAAGACCAGAGCTCACACTGGACAAGACCAGAGCTCACACTGGACAAGACCAGAGCTCACACTGGACAAGACCAGAGCTCACACTGGACAAGACCAGAGCTCACACTGGACAAGACCAGAGCTCGCTCACACTGGACAAGACCAGAGCTCACACTGGACAAGACCAGAGCTCGCTCACACTGGACAAGACCTAGCCAAACCTCTCCTCAGTCATCCCAGAAACAGTTTCCCAACCAAAGGCATGGCCAGGATTGATGTTTCAAAGTGGGAGTTCATCTGTGTGAGAGATGAGGAACTAACAGTCTGCACACAAGTAAGCCAAATCTGCACACACAAAAATGAACATGAACGAAAACCTCAAGTTCTGGAACAATACAAAGTTCAAAAGTGACAACCAGAACTTTCTGCCGTAGTTTGCGGCTAGTGAATGCTAGGAAAAAAAAAAAAAGAAGATATCACACTTATACACATAGATACACACACTTATGCATGTACACACTATCATATATATTCATACACACACTCATGCATATACAAACACACTTTGTGTACCAGGCTACATGGCTAGTGATTGTGTAATCTTTTACAGTGCAGGTTAGCATTTTATTGTTGCCCCTGACAAATCTAGAAACTTTCCAAAGATTCAAACCCCCGGGCCTCCCCCATGAGAGCCGAGCATTCTTAACTATTTGGCCAGCAGCTCCAAACAAATGTTCAGTTAACATTAAAATTATTCTAACTACCAATGGAGGGGGTGGGGGGGACCTTCAAGACAAGATGTCAGTCACTGGTGAAGACTACAAGCACAAGATCCTGCCCATGACCCATGCTAGGATAGACCTATTGACAGCAAACTGATCACTGAAAACAGTTTCTCATTCGTCTTTTGCTATGCTGTTGTGCTGTGCTTTTTTCCCGGTCCAGGTAATCTTGCTGATACGTTTCGCAATTTCTCAGCTGCAACTCTCAGTTTCTCCTTCTGACCTCATCTTTACTAAGAATCACAGCTAGTACCAACGCCGGCAATGTACAAGTTTCCAGCCACACATAACAGAGCAATTGTGAATGCATTGTAGAAAATCATACGTCTGAATTTGGACTCCAGGTCACCTTGCCGATACCAATAAATCTGTGAAAGAGAAAAGCATGTGAATACAACAATATTTCTAGACGGTAGACTTAGAAACGCACCAGTAAGTCAGCAAAGACTCGTATTGATATAGACTGATCAGTACTCAATGAGTGATGTTGTCAGCATCATGCCTGTAATGTTGGTATTTTCCCACAGGAATTTCTGAAATGATGATACAGGGGTAAACACCAGATAAGAGAGAAATACCGGAGAATGTGAATACTCATAGAATTACGAGATATACAGGAGAATGTGAATACTCATAGAATTACCAGAAATACAGGAGAATGTGAATACTCATAGAATTACCAGAAATACAAACAGTGCTCAAACTAGCACAAAAAAGCCCAGGGAGAGGGTTACAGGATTAGACGAAGAGCTAATCAGTTAGTATGTGTCTAGCAGCCGGTGTCAAAGGTCGTGTTTGAGGGAAGGTGAAAGTGACATTGTGTAACTGAAGACATGAAGGAGTTGACAACAAGATGACAGCCTAACCAGAAGTGATAGCCGATGATATCTAACCAGCCAAGGAGTCTCACAGCCATGATCAGAGATGCTGGATCAACCATTGTGTGTATTGCCTGTGTAATGAAATAGGACTGAAAGGTAACGAGTGTGGAAGATAGTAGACTTTGATTGTGTACTAGATAAATGTCATCATATCCTGTTGGACCTGCTAGCCAGTGGTAGACAGTGACTGGACCAGATTACCTTTGAAAGTTGAATAAATAAGATAAACAGATATCTCATGTACACTTACCAACTGTGTACATTCAGAATGTCATTCATGTCATAGATATGAAAAACCCCTAGCAACCAGCTAGCACACAGTGCCAGCCACCTTTACATCCCAGGGCATAACCTGTACCAATTTTCTGGGTCAAAAATAAACTAATCAGATCAGATATTGATTTAATCATGGTCTACACAGGCTTATGTACCACTAAAACAAAACACAAATGATCATCAATGATTAACAACAAATACTTAGTATATTGTGCTTATTGACAACATATTTTAAAAAAGTCTATCATGGAATTTATCAAATTTCTAGTTTTTCTGCATCCTCTTGCAACCTGTGAGGTGTCTTTCGTACTATCTGTTCGATGCTCACTGTGCTCTCCATGCCTGTTCTACTTCTTGGGTCCACCATGAAGACTGCACACAAGCATAAGTGGTGGTTCTGCTGTATACCTTCTGTGGAAAGCTTCTACTGGCCCTCTCAGATTTTCAAGTCTTGCATGTTCTCAGAGCCCTGACCATGCCAGAATTAGAAATTAAAAACAGAAAATAAAAAAATCTATTAAAAAATAACCTATACTCACCAATACTACAAGAGAAGCACACACAAACAGTATCACAAAAGCAAAGTAGACATCGACGGCATCTGGTGGCCAACCCCCATAGGCACATGCCATTATCAGTGTCACCTAACAACACCAAAATGTAATTTAGTAACAATAATTGGAAAGCACAATCTGAGAAAGATGACAAACAACAGATGGCACAATTTACTGTTTGGCATGCTGTACTAGGTTATTACAATCGACATCACTGCAAATCTGGCATTCACGTGTGTGCTCAGTGTTCGATACAGCAGCCACTCCAAGATATCTACTGATGACAAGCTTCCAATGTTTTACTCCCAAGTCACGCAACGGTATTAGCAGAGGTTTGTCATCATCCACCAGCCTAGTCTGTACATCTATAAAATCTTGTCATCATCCACCAGCCTAGTCTGTACAGCCATGAAATCTTGTCATCATCCACCAGCCTAGTCTGTACAGCCATGAAATCTTGTCATCATCCACCAGCCTAGTCTGTACAGCCATGAAATCTTGTCATCATCCACCAGCCTAGTCTGTACAGCCATGAAATCTTGTCATCATCCACCAGCCTAGTCTGTACAGCCATGAAATCTTGTCATCATCCACCAGCCTAGTCTGTACAGCCATGAAATCTTGTCATCATCCACCAGCCTAGTCTGTACAGCCATGAAATCTTGTCATCATCCACCAGCCTAGTCTGTACAGCCATGAAATCTTGTCATCATCCACCAGCCTAGTCTGTACAGCCATGAAATCTTGTCATCATCCACCAGCCTAGTCTGTACAGCTATGAAATCTTGTCATCATCCACCAGCCTAGTCTGTACAGCCATAAAATCTTGTCATCATCCACCAGCCTAGTCTGTACAGCCATGAAATCTTGTCATCATCCACCAGCCTAGTCTGTACAGCCATGAAATCTTGTCTGTCCATGCACTGGTGCATTAGTTACCTGTTAGTCCACTTATCCATTACCTCTTCACTGAGGCATGTCGATTCAGGTGAGGGAGGTTAAGTCAGACTTCTGGATTTTTCTACCCATTTAGGGCGTATATTACCTGTTTCTACTTTCTGAAACATTTGTTTGGAGTCTGATACAAGTACTGCATGAATGGCTGCTGACTTTGCTGCCCATGTGAGTGCTCTGGAAGCAGCCATACAAGTACTGCATGAATGGCTGCTGACTTTGCTGCCCATGTGAGTGCTCTGGAAGCAGCCATACAAGTACTGCATGTATGGCTGCTGACTTTGCTGCCCATGTGAGTGCTATGGAAGCAGCCATACAAGTGCTGCATGTATGGCTGCTGACTTTGCTGCCCATGTGAGTGCTCTGGAAGCAGCGATGATCTCAGCCACATAGTTTCTGGCAAGTGCCACTACCCTCTTTCGTTATTCCCATCCTTTGTTCTGTATATGCTGACCTTGACCCGCAGTTCAAGGACCCCTCTTTATTAATTATGTCTTCTGGAAGAGAATGCTGATCTATCAGTGTCCATATGTTAGTGTCTACTGCAGCAGAAATCTAATTCTAGCATTATCACCCCACCACCCCCAGTATGCTGAGGCGCTGATATGTTCTGAAAAGGGTGGAAGACATTGCTCCCCGGGGCCCGACGGGGTTAGATATTCCCACATGAAAGACATGAGTGATGCTGACCTGGTGGAGATGACTGCTTGTTTCAACCACAGCATGAGGACAGCTTCAGTAGTTTACAAGCACAAGTTTGCACAGCTACCCGATTCCACTTCCTAAGCCTGGCAAGGATCATTCAACTTGCTTTAGGATCATAACCCTACAAAACATCTTTGGTAAAGTGCTGGAGAAGATAGTGGCGGGTAAACGGCAAGAATTTTTGGAACAGAGAAATCTCCTTCCACAAGATTTGGGAAGTTACCGGCCAGGGAAGAAAACATGGTCAAATGCAGACACTTCTGCCTTTGATACCTTCGAAGGTTTCCAGAACTGTCACGATACGATCTCAGTGATTCCAGAAGTTAAGTACTTTTAATAAGTTCTTCTGGTTATTGAGAGACAAGAGACTATGCCCTTAAACCAAATGTTACTTTAAACCGTATTGATTTAAATGTTTCCAGTCCTTAGTCCAGACAAAGCAACCCAACCTTGAGTAATATTACCTAAAACCTTACACTGTAGCTAGGAATTCTATTCTCACGCCAGTGTCAGAATGTTATCTCCTGACCAGACTGTAGAGACTGAGCGGGGCCTTTTGAACAGGGGAATTGAGTAGACGCTAGACATTGTGGAGCCGGGAGGTCGGAGTTTAACACGTCAGTGTAATTCTGGAGAGAACAGGTGTTTGGCAATTAGGAATGGTTTATCTTGGTCAAGGTCGTACTGTAGGCCGTTCACTGTGAGTGACAGGTCACTGGTTAGCCAAGTGATCTGATAGTTACCTCAGGGGCGGTGCTTATGTCATCATCTTGAGGGTTGGGCAGAACTCAGGAAAGGGAGGAGTTTAATTTGGACAATAGATTGATACTTATACTTCGAGCCTGTGGAATTCCCGTCATTAATCGCAGCCTGCCGGCAAACAAACAGGTTGACGTAAAGGTATATTTTACTGTCGTACTCTGGTTTGGCGATAGATGGAAAAGTTCCCAGGTAAGAGAAAATATTAATTTTAATCTTGTATACTTAGGTTAGGGAGTTAAGCTTAGTCTATACTACCTTTTCCTAATTTGTCTGCACATTCTGCTGGAAATAGTTCTTTGTGAGAATTCAGTATCTCAGTTAGGGAACTGCTAAACTATTCCTATTTCTTGTATGTTTGTGTCACATGTTTTTCAGTGTATGTTTTCATGTGTAGAAAATAAGATGTGAACAATGACATTTGATATAATGAACTGTAATTATATTGTTTCCATGATGCCCATATGTGCAGGGATGCTGTTACGTTTGTGTGCCCACCATGTGCTCACTTAAGGTGTTCACCTAAACAGGGGATTTATAACCCCAGGGGGAGAATGATGGGTGTACAGTATTTACTGTCACTGAAAGATAATATTCAGGACAGCGTGCACATATAAATTATTTGCGGGTTCAGCACATAACCTGCGCCACATGTTTATGTCAAATCTATGTCAGCCAATTCGAAGTCTGAGTGAAGACGGACAACAGACTTAGAAAGTCAACTATCATGACATAGCATTTGAGGGAAGGCAGGATATGTGACGCCCATGTAAGACAAAAGACCTTCAGACTAGACTGGAGAGGATGGGGAATATGAGGAGGAGTGATGGGCTATATTTTATTATTCTATGTTATATTAATTGATACATGTATTCTTAGTGTAAGTCAAGATACTACACGTATGTGTTTTGTTTCCATGATTACAGCGCCCAGGTGACGATCAGTCCATGAAGTAGCCTACATTGTGTTAGACTCTGCCAGCTGGGAACGAGGTGGAGAACGAGGTGGAGAACGATGTGGAGAACGAGGTGGGGACGAGGTGGAGAATAAGCTGAAACAGGCAGACAACAGGCAAGGAAGAGTTGGACAAGCTTGACAGTTCCTCACGGCTGTCAGAGGCTTATAAGTTGAGTTAACCCCTTTATGTTAACCTTTTATCATCATTATCATACCACTCTAAACCCCGAGCTGTTTGTCTCGCTGAAGCTTATCCGTTAACCAGTCACTGTTTGTGTAAATCAACAAACTGGTAATTTCATTGTAGTAAATAAAGCTGTATGTCAAGTTTTAAACTACATAGTTTGTTAAATTCCAAATGTCTGTTCTTACATGTTTAATTAAACTGTTAGGATAGAATAACATTTGGTGGGGGCTCAAATAATATAATAATTCTTTAATTATTAATAATAACACCGGGAGAAGGTAGATGACGAAGGAATCACTTGCCCTGTCTAATAATTCATTTAGTATGATTCATTCATTCATTCAGTAGCATGTCCCTCGCGGAACCTCGCTGCCATAACAACCCTCCGGAAAACCTTCCTATCATGAGCAAGATGTCCTGCGTCTGATACACCCATCTGGAGATCATCTGCCACATCCTGCACCCATCTTCTCCTTGGCCTTCCTCTTTCTCTCTTCCCAGGCATATACCCCTCCATTATTGTTCTCTCTAGACCTCCATGACGTTTCAAGTGACCAAAATATTTCAATTTTCTTTGTTTTATTGTCTTTACTAGCCAACCCTCTTCAATATTCAGCTCTTGAAGTATGGATGCATTTGTTCTTTTCTTTACCCAAGATATTCTTAGAACCTGTCTGTAACATTTATATTCAAATGCATTTATGCGCTGTTCCGCTTGTTTAGTAAGTGTCCAGGTCTCACAGGCGTATGTTGCAATGGGAAAGATGCATGCTCTTAAAAATCTGACCTTTGTAATTCTATCTGTACAATTCCATAATTTATTCAGTTGTTTTAGTCTTTGAAGAGCAATTGATAGTCGCCGTTTAATTTCTTTCATTGTGTCACCATTGTTGGTAACCAGTGACCCAAGATATTCGAAATTTTCCACCACTTCCAATCTTTCCTCATTAACATATATTTCCTTCTCCATGGCAGTTTTGTTTGTATGCATTATCTTTGTTTTTGCTGTGTTAAGAAATAAGTTATGATTTTCACTATTTCTTTGGAGTGAGGTTAATAAGTTTTCTAAACCATTTTGTGATGTTGATAGTAATACTGTATCATCAGCATAACGAATTTCTGGTATTTCATGACCACCGATGTTTAGGGCATCATATTGTTCCTTGTTTATATCATCTCTTACATTTCTCATTATATTTTCGGCGTACAGGTTGAACAAATACGGTGACAGCACACATCCCTGACGGACTCCTTGCTTGATGCCAAACCAGTCTGATGTCTCTCCATCTATTCTGACTGCTGCTTGTTGGTCTTGATAGAGCATTTTAATGAGCTGCACTATATGTGATGGAAAGCCCATATTCCTCATGATTTCCCAAAGCTTCTGATGTTGTACACAGTCAAATGCTTTTGAATAATCCACAAAACATAAGAACAGATTTACATTAAATTCTCTACACTTCTCTATTATTAAAACGCATGTTGAATATATGATCTCTTGTTCCTCTTCCCTGTCTAAATCCAGCCT